CAGGGTAATTTCCCACACAATTAACATGAAATCAGTCAACGGGATTCTCCTGTAACAAGATCTTGAAGCTGAAAGGAGTGAAAGGGATTCCGTCACCTATAAAATGTTTGCTCATTGCTTCCACCCAATGCAACCTGAGGGAGTGCAACATTGCACTCGTTCCCTCTATAACACAAAGCACCGCAACAGTCAAGGTGAACCACACGTAAAACGTAACGATGATAAGGATAACCCGAGTAGTACTGGACTCGGCACTAAACCCGTTGTTCAGAGTCATTTTCCATAACACGATAGACAGTTGTTGATGGGCAAGTGACAACGCCCACAACCGGAGATAAGAAGCGGTATGAGAAACGCAATTAAGACAGAACTCTGGAAACGTGGATATTAGCACTCATAGAACATATAAAAAAGGTTCGAAAGATCACTAATAGGGGAAAATGGCTTACCAATGGTATGGATGATTTGATGGATCATCTCATCACCGAAATCGAATTCCTCGTGCTCTTCCTCGCCTACATCCTGGGTAATCATTCCAATGCCTTCTGCGTCGCTAGTCATACTGTGACGAGTGGACCCATGGGGCTCGTGCTCGTCTTCGTCCGTTGCACTAACCCTTGATATTTCACCCAGGCCCCTATAGCCAAGGGCACGAGCCCGGTTATGCTCCCAGCGAAGGTAGCACGGTTTCAGAAACAAGAGAATGGGAATCTGAATGACAGCCAAAAGAAGAAGAACCACTTGGACTCCCGCCTGCCCTTTATAAAGCGGTTCGTCCACTGAACCGGGCTTGAGAAACATGAAAATCAGCATATTAAGCAAGCTGGGAGGTGATTGGCCTCGAGCCGGCCAGTCGACCAGCCATTTATAGATAATGGAGAACACCAAGTATCCGAATATTGACTGGAAGAAGATCATGCCGGGGACAAAATTGCCCCAAATTTCAATCGGTTTTTTGAAATGCCGAGCATTCAAAAATGACAAACATATCGAGTACGTCATCTAAAGGAATCAGCACGAGATTGACAACACCTAGAATCAGTGAAAACTTACATGCGACCACCCAAGTAAGATGGCTAGCTTCATCTTAAAACTGTTGGTAAAAAGCAAGTTGTTGCTGCTAGCATGCCAACCCCAGTCGAGACCAAACGGATATCGATAGTTCCCTTTCAGAGTTGCCGAAACAGTCTCACCCAATTGAACGTCCTGCGGCCATTGCCAAGCACTTGGGAAAATTTCCAGTGATCGTGAAAATATGTCGTTGTATATCAAACCTGTGTATATAGAGAAGATACCATTCAGAAGCATGATATACCGACCGTAAAAGGCCATAGCCGAGATTTCGTCGAGTTTTACCTTGGATAATTTCCTTTCGAAGAGAATCAAGGTGACTGCGGCCATGGTCATAAGCATTCCGTGACACAGTCACCGACATACGCGATAGATGGAAGTACATGTCGTAGCAGATGATTCAGATACTA